TGGACATTATGATGCAACAAAAGTAATTCAACTGGCTGGGATAATAAAGCAACCATGAGTCCCTACAGCTTTAGGTACTGCGTTGTTACCTAAAACTGTACAAGGTTCTAGCTGCTATGAAATTCCAATTGACAGTAATTATATTAAGCTTGCAGAAGTGCAAATGAGACCTCAAAATTACATGGAATGGAAAATCAGAAAGCCTGTGACAGAGCTGAGACTAGATTCCAGGTGTTCAGCATTGCTGTGCCATTCACTCCTTGTTCCAAGCACATCCTGTTTTATGGGTATATGTGATTGCACTTCAGAAAGGGATAAGATCTAGGGTACATTCATTATCTCCAATATGGACTATGAAGCCACAGCCCTTGGCAAGAGGGAATGTCTGGAACTGGCTGGGATGCTGTGTTTCTGTTGGAATAAACAGGCAATTACAGAATAGACCTAAACAGAAAGCTCAAAACGGAGATGAAATATCCCAAACAAACAATAATAAATCAACCTTCTTCTACTGCTGTGCCATTTGCTTATGCAGTGTTTCAAAGGAAGTGGGATTGCCAGTGTTGTACACATGTAGAAGAGACAGCACTCAGCCCATGGATGTTCCAGATGGGAGATGGCAATGCAGCAACTGCACCACCCCACAGGGAGGGATAACATAGAACTAATGTGCTCCTTCCTCTCTGTGGCTGTGTCTAAACCTGGTGTGAAATGGAGGAAAACAACTAAGGAACGTTCTTAGACTTTTGTTATATACAAGTTGGAAAATTTTAACTCCTCATCTTTGACCATTTTATCTGGAGTTTCCATCCTCTTTCTGCAGGAAGCATTTCTTTTTATACTGGAAAGGTCAAAAACCTGTAAAAAACTGTGACCAAAACCTATAGAACTGCGAGTCATCAGTGACTTTCTAAAATAGCCACACACATAGAAAACTTCTGCACTTGCATTTCAGAGAGTTTTAAAGTTCTGAATGTTTGAAGACCTAAGCCCTGGTCTATGTGCCTTCAGAGAAATAGTCAAAATAAAAAAGTGAGAGTAGAGGAGGTCGATACCAGCAGAGGGGGATAGTGGCTCTTCCTAAAGGAAATTCTGAATTTAGAGGTCAATATCTTTATCATTTGCTCTCTCTCCCTCTCTGTGAATGTCATGGTGTCTAAACTGCTCTCTCCCTCACTCTCACCTGGGCCTTCAGTAGAATAGGAGCACTGTAAGTTTCTAATACCTAGAGCTTTTACTTTTCTCTTAATTCCTCAGGAGAAAAATTCAGTCTTCCTGCATTTGACACCTGGGCTCCCAGTACATGAGGAGCAAGTGGAAATGCTAAACAGTAAAACACTGGCTCAATTTTTACTGAGATCTGAAGGGAAATTTTGTTGCTTCCCACCCAGCAGGAAGCAGTGGACTGGCTTCACCTCCACCAGGTCAACTAGCAGTGCAAGCAATTATCATAATATGGAAGCTGCAGGATTGCCTCACAGCTAGTCACTGAAAAATACAGAAGACTAGTAAAACTTGCAGGAATGTGAGAGATACTGTATATCTGAGATGCAGTGAACTCTGTATGAAATCTCTTTGTGATCCATTCCAGACCAACATCTGCCATTTTATTCACTTTGCCCTGGAAGGTTGTGGCCTGCAAGGAAATAGGATGGGAATTCACATCCCTGTCTCTCACTAGATCCTTGGTAGAGGATGGAACCCAAAATTTCTCTGCTCTGCATAACAGTGGCAGGTACAACAATGTGACACCATTGCTGAGGTTCTAGAAGTCTTGAGCCCAGCAGGATTTACAAAGTAAGTCGGCTTTGGCTTCCTTTGTGATGTTTTATGCCTGAGGAGTAGCCTGAGAGGATGTCAAGCTAGAAAAGGATCAGAGATGACAGAGCAGTAACAAACACTCAGTAAGACATCTGCCAGATGTGAGTGACAAGCATGTATTGTGATGGCAAGTTGCAGTACCAGTCAAATGGATTGAAATGTGGAAAAACTGAGGTTCGTCTGACAATGCAGTTTGTTCAAAGCCCTGTAAATGTAAATAATTGCTCTGTCTGCAAACAAAGCAACCACAGCCCGCATAGCAGCTGTGGTCAGGGTGCCTCAGTCTGGTTCTGAGATTCCCCAGAGCAGCGAGAGAGCAGTTTTAGCCCCTCAGGCACTCAATGCTTGGCCTGTGCTGGGAGAGCATTATTGTTATTGGGGTGCCTTCTGTGCTGGGGATAATAGAAAACATACAGAAATTAAATGCGAGAGTGTTGGTGGTACTGTAAAAAACAGAGTGCTCGGTCAAGACAGAGTTGTGAATCAACCTTCCCATGTATACAGGCAAACCTTGTGCATTTGTGACTCATGCTGTTGCTGCAGAGCCAGGATCCTTTGCTCCTCTGCCTTCAAGAGCAGCTGCCCATCCTCCTGGAGTGCGTGAGTGGTGCGCAGCTCTTGGATCAGATCCAGTCGCTTCTTCTTCCCTTCAAACATCTTTAAAATAAAGGTAAACAAGTGAGCATATTAAATGGAGAATATATATCAACATGTTTTGCCAGAAGAGCAAAAAAAAAAACCCTTTTTCTCTAAGTTGCAAGGTCAGCTGTTTCCAAGACCTAGTTCTCTTTGTGGCTGCATTTAGGCAAACACTACAGCTGTCAAGTAAATCTTGCCTAAACCCTCCTGCATGGATGAAAGCTGAGACCTTGTGCTGTGGAATATAGATAATCCCTTACTACTTTTATTTGTTTGTTTGTTTGTTTATTGTTCTCTTTGGCCTTCCCCAGAAATCAAACCACTGGAATGTGGAACACCACCACCAATGTCAAGTGAAAAGGGCAATAGCCTTCTGGATACTCTGTTGTATCAGCCTCAATGTCAAAACTTCACTGTGTTTCAACATCTACTATTCTCCGACCTTCCTTTTGACGGAGTCCAGCAACAGCTCATAGCAATAAATTGGTGGGGAGGTTTCTGTTATGGGGTTATGTGGCCCAGTCCTCCCTGACAGAGTCTTATTTCCAGTCCCCTTCTCTTCCAACAGCAACAAAAGATCACTCAACCCTGCTCACATCATTCTCCAACTGAGTCATATATTTCTGATCCAGGAGTAGCTGGAAGGAGATTCCTAAAATGATGGAGCATTTCATACTGTGAAAGTCAACAGTCCTTCAGTGGCATCAAACTCCTTCTCACAGATAAACACAGAACTGGAGAGGACTTGGGAAGTCTATATTCCACCTCAGGCCACTTTCACAATATTGCATTGTTTGCTAAAGCTCAGGTCAGCATCCCACATGGGAACGCTTCACAAACGTTAAATAATGACTACAAGAGAGAATATCAGTTATACTCCCTCCATGCATGGAAACAAACCTTCTGGACCGGTCTGATCAAAAGTGATAGACTTGCTTAATATAAAGCCCACAAGGCATGGCTACCCAATTTTTACTTAGATTCTGTTCTGCACCACTGAAATCAGAAAGAAGGGTCCTGCACTTGCTGGAAATCACAGCGGTATCCTTCAGTTCCTCCTCATCTGTGCTTCAGCTCACCACCACAGGAAACTGTAAAGTTGGTATGAAATACAAGCTGCCCTGCTGGGATGTGGGAGGTTTCTTGTGCCTGGGATCTTGGCATAATCACGGCAAAATGTGCTCACGGTCCAGATCTAGTCTAGAATTTGTCATTTGAGTAATTCTGCTATGAAGTATCTAAATAAACAGCTGAGTGCAGGGAATGGCAAGAACAGGGGGACATTCACAGACGTGTAGGAACCTAGAAGTTCCTGCAAGAAATTTGGGCTGGAGAGCAAAGACTTCAGCCTTGAAGGACTCCCAGATAACACAAAGGAGGATATGCTGCAGAAGTCTCATTACCCCTGATCAGTGCTGTGAAAGAAAGGTTGCAAACACCCTTTCAGTCATTCCCACCATCATTCCAAAGACAGACATAAACAAAGAGACACAGAATACCATGTTCTGAATAGCCCTGCCTCGGAGCAACTTCTGCAGACAGATCACTGCCAGTTCTCTTTCCTCTTCCTCCTGCCAAAACACAAGAAATATCCACACAGTAATTAATTATGTCTTTGGAGACTGAGATTTCTGTAGATTATCCATCTAAGTATTCAATAGTCTAACTCATATCCTGCCTTTTCTTGGTTGTTTCTGAACACCATTCTTCTAATTTCTAGGGAAAGGAAGGTGAGTCAGAATAACAAGTACTTCCATGTTTTTCAAGGGATGGGAAAGAAAAACCATATAATTATTCTATTTTAGATTTTAAAGGGTCTTTAGAGATGAGAACCTAGTGGTAAGGAGATGCTGATGGAGAAAATTACTGTATGCATTAGAAGTACTATTTATAGCTGGACTGAATCTGAGTTTGTAAAATGAGCACCAGCTACATTAATTTAACAGGTCAAGACACTGAGGGGATAGAATTAGTACTGAAGGAGGTCCAAGAGAGCTGTTAACCATAAATAAAGGGATTAAATTAAAAGGAAACATATACAATTTTTCTTCTGATGCTTGTTCCAGTGGTGACCTTTATCAGAGTAAATCAGTAAATTTAAAACTCAGAAAGTGATAGTTTGAAAGTAAAATTACCTACATTCTATTGTGATTTGTCTCTTTGAGAACTTTACTGGCCTAGCATTGTGTGATTGATACCAACTCGGAAGGATGATGGAGCATAGTAGAACAGAGAACATGACAACAGGAGAAAAAAAAGCTTTTTTTAAATAGAGGAAGTAGAGGAAGCACAGATGGCAGCATTCTTTCTAGATGAGAGGTCTTCTAGTCTGGAGCTGACAGTAGTAGAAGCAAAAAGTCCATTGGGTGCCTGGGGAAGATAAAAAGAAATCTAAAAACTGGAAGTAAGGTTTTTTCTAATAAAGAACCTATAAGGTCTGCATTGAAATGTGGTATTTAAGAAGTGCCGGATAAACAGGGAAGAGTGTGGGATGAGAGAAGTTGTGTGGGCTTGAATCTCAGTTATCTGGTTTTTCTTAGGTGTTGAAGACTGAGTTTTCCAAATGCAAAAGAAAGCATTCCTGCCTTTCCACACCAGTATGCAGGAGAAGCAAAGCAGAACTAGCCAAAGGACTGCCTTAAGATTTGGTATGTTCTTTTTCTCTGGAAAGAAGGGATAACTTTCCAGTCCTAGAGAGGTAAACTGTACCACATCACTTGGCTACAAGTGTGAAACCCCTTCAGGACAGAGTTTTGGAAATGGTGATGGCACCTATACTGGTAAGCCAAACTGTTTGGTCTGATTTAAACTAAGATTTGGTTTAAAATTTTAAGAAGCATTTTTCTGTACTTCTGTTGTTCAGTGCTGCAAATGATGCCTTAGCAAGTGTAATCATCAGCTTGTCCATCTGCCTGATATACACCAGCAGGAAAGAATGAAGGGGGATGAAAATCCTATCATACCCTGCAGAGAAAAAAGAAAAAAAATAAGGATATAGAAGGATCTAGGAGATGGCTGCAAATTAGAGGGGACTGGAAGAAAGTCATAAACTAATGAAGGAATTCAGAGGTGCTCTGTGAGCTTGTGGTTGCTAGTAAGTCCATTAGAAAGGACTGGGGGAGGGAAGCTGAGGAGGCCTGCAGCAGTGCCTCAACTGTCTCCACTTGTTTTTATATCCCTTGTGGTCCACATCACCCGACTGTCACTCTGCCAGTTTCTTTTTGAGACACTCAACTCCAGTGGGAAGCACTTAGCAGTTGTTACTCGTATATGTGTAAGGCAGGAAGAGAAGCATTAAGAGCAGGGAAGATTCTTGCTTTCGGTGCTCCTCACAGCTATCTGGTAAGAGAAACCTCACTTGGATTCAGCAAGGCAGGAGATGTTAGTGCTGCTCTTCAGTGGCTCAAGTGACCTGATTTTATAGGCAGAGCTTCACTGGAGAGCTCCATATTTAATGAGTTCACACGTAACGATACTTGAAAATAAACCAAATGTTGGCAGAATCAACGTAGGTGGAATTAGATTGTATTGGACTTCTTAAAGAAACCCCACCATAATCTGTAAACATGCTCAAGAATGACTAAAACTGGGAGATGAATTTTTCTGATTTCTTTCCGTGTTACATCAAAGTACTTAAAAATCTGCTAAACTGGTAAACCTAAATAGTGCAAGTCCACCACTGCAATACAATATCTCATACCTAGGAGTTGGTAAAGCTGTAGAAAGCTCTTCCCAAGGAGATAAGAGATTCTTGTTTCAGTCTTTATAAAATAGACTGTTTAAAACACAAAATATCATACTGCACAAAGGAAGACAGCAGCATGAATAACCTAATAAGACTTTATCTCACTTTTGTGGTTGTGTGACTCTCTTAAATTCAAAGTTCAAATGGTAATTGTGTCTGATTCTTAGTACATCATGAAAATGGTGTTAATAAGAAGACAAAGCAACACAGTGGGGCAACCACCTCTTAAGTACATTACTTTAAGAAAGGAAAAGAAGTTGCATCTCCCCTAAAAGTCTTTTTTTCCTACAGCATATCACATCCCCCATGACACATCATTACTGCTATTTCAATCTCTGCAGGACAATCATTATCTGTGAACTGGAGCATGCTCATCAAACACTGCATCCTGCATGATGACAAGAGCTTCACTCCAGCAAATTAATGAAGTGCATGCTCAGTGCTAAGCAGCCAAAGTCTCACTGACTTCAATGAGACTAAACTTAATTGCCCCATTGGATTATGATAGTGTTGTCAGATCAGAAGACTGGAAGCTACTGAATAATAATACTACTACTAATGGTAATAATAATGAAGATAATTATGATGATGTCTTCTTATTTCTCAAGAACAAGTGAATAATGTCTACTAATTTATGTCTTTATAAAATAAAGTTTACTTAAGGATTTGGTCAACAGATATTGTAAAATATTTTCAATTCTTTGGCTGCTAGTATCTTTATAGAATAAAGAGAGACTAGGAGAGTCTTAAGAAATAACGATGCCTATTTTTAACATGAATGCACACAAAAAAGATAAAACTCCCTTCTTTCCTTCTCTGGGCATTCCTTTAACAACTGTGTAGGAAGCAACCAGGGATCAACAGGGAAAAAAAGTGCTAAAAACAGTTGACTTACAATTGATGGTTTTTCCAAGATTAGAGTGGGTGGCTTAGGAACAGGCTCTTCTACTTTCTCAGGGACACGGATGGGCTTCTTTGGCTTCTCAACTTTATTCTTCTTCTCCAGTAGTGCCTGGAATAGACATACGATTTAATTAGAACATGGCCTGACAGAACAACATAATAAGGATGCAGACTGTTGCTGATCACATTGACTACAGAGAGCTGAGAGCTTTTCAGGCTTGTGGCTTCCACTGCTTACTGCACATCAACTGAAAAACTGAACGTGGTCAGTAGATGAGGCTATTGGCTGGTCAGAAGATACTGATGGGAACGTCAAACTCATACGTTAGAAGGAAGAAAGAGTTATTTTACTGTACTTACTAGTAAGTCATCAGCAACTGCTTAGGGTGAGTTACCTAAAATAATCTAAAATTGGCATGAACTTCATTTCTAACTCTCCAATAATTAATTCTTTAAGAATGCTTATAACTCTTTGCCTTTAACTATAGCTATAGTGCTTGTTACTGTGGGTTAGAAATGCAATGTATTCAGGAGATTTTATGAAGGGTTCACTCAAAGAGTGTGTTGTCATGGTTCTGTGGCCCTTCCTCAGTGAAATGCCTTTGTATGATAGGCTATTACTGCACAGGGCTGAACTAAATGACCCTGGTCCCTTTTCTTGCAAAATTTGTTTTGAAACTCTTCTCTGCTTATCTAAAACTGCTCAGCAGCCCAGCGGCACCCACAGTAACTGTACAAGTGGACTAGGGACAAAAGGGAAACTAACTTGTCTGAGAACTTTCTTCTACCACAAAAACCCAATGGCCCATTAAGAGTGGGGTTTATCTTGCTTGCACCTCATCTTGCATCTGTTTGGTGGCAGATCCCACACCTTTTCAGCTAAAGCAGACTAGGAGTGGAAGTGCCACCACAGCCTCAGCTCTTTCAAGACCTTTTTAAACTGTTCAAAGAGCCAAAGCCCTGACAACTTCCCATCACAAGCCACTTAGAACTAGATATTCAGATAATTATTTCCAGCTGCACAACAGTGCTTGCCTGCTGCAGGACATCACACTTCAGCTCACAAAGAAAGGGAAAAGAGTGTGTACATTTAAAGCTCCTTCAAAATTATAATCCTACTACCGGATGGGTTGGATTTATAGTCCTTAGTAAGGAAAGAACAGACATATTACAGCATGGGAAAGTGTGCTTTTTCCTTTTATCGTCTTTTTCTTTCAAATGTTCAAATACAGTATTTCACTAGGGAGGGAAACCAAAAAAAAAGCTTTAGAAAAAAATTCAATGCTGAATTTCTCTCTCCTGTAATAGGAAATTGATGGCACTTGCACAGAATTTAATTGTGAAATTAATCAAGTTTTGAAATTCCAGTGGTCATTGTACAAAACTCTTCTTGCATATTGGATCTGATCTTTCAGGTCAGGATAACAAATTGCTCCAGAAAAGAAGAGAGGTTTCTAGGTGGAAGGGATAAAATGCTTGATTATTGAAAGCTTCTTAAATGGACCATGCTAATAATGCAAGAATCAAAGCCTATAAACTGCTTTTAGGCCATGTGAAATGGTTATAGCTCAAAAATGTTGGGAGATTTTCTGAACTGTTTTTTGTATGTGATGACCTTATGGCTCTCTGGCATGAAGATTATAACAGTGCTTGCTATGACTAATAAGGTGATTTGCATGACAGGGTGAGGGAAACAGAAAGAAAAAAGCTGCTGTAATTGCGATTCTTTTGAAAACAATGGCTCCTATGTTTATTAGTACAATCTTGCATTCATGAGAATTTTTCTAATAAAACTGTAGCCTCCAAAAATGCCTCTTGCTAAGCAGAATAACAAAACACAAGCAGCATAACAATTTCTAAAGACAGAAAAATCTATGAGCTCTTCTGACAAGAAAGAATTTTTATTAATGCAGATCTGAGAAATACTGCAGTTCCCAGAAGCGGTTTATGTTTTCATGTCAGCACAGTCTAATGCCTGCTTTGTTTTCTTTACTAAGTCAAAAATACTTGACATTTGCTTTCTCTTATCTAAGGTTTTAAGATATATTACGACTTTAACGTATGAAAAGAAAAATAAAGTATGGGGGTTTTGCATATCTGGTTCTGCCTAACTTAGCAAGTTATAATTTTTCAAAAAAAATAAGTCAGAGCCCAAGAATCATTGTAAAATACTGGTTTTAAAAAGATAAAAATGTTAAATTTCTGAACAACATACTCCAAATATATCTGATGTATATACCTATATATCACTCTAATTTTTCTGACTACATTACTTTTTTCAGGTAGTGGGTTCAGAGTCAATGTATAATCTGGTTGGATTGGACAGTGAAGGACTATTCATCTACTTTTCATTTTCCTGGCAAGTGCAGTGAACAGCAAATGGCACTCATAGTTTTGGCCATACACCTCAGCTTCTTAGTAGCTCCTGAGAGAAGCAGAACTTTTGATAGGATAGTGGCTTTAGAAAAAACTCTCTGTTCAAAGAAATCATTCTTCAGATTCCTCCCTTATCTTCTCTGTGATCCTCTCCTTTTCACAGGACACGAGGTATGTTTGATTTTCACATACAGCACAGAGTGTACAGTCATGTATCTCTTTCTTCCTTTTTGCACACAAACTCCGAAGGCGGAATCTCAGAATCCCAGAATCAATTAGGTTGGAAAAGACCTCTAAGATCATCGAGTCCAACCTACAACCAAACACCACCATGTCAATTAGACTATGGCAATAACTGCCACGTCCAGTCTTTTCTTAAATACCTCCAGGGATGGTGACTCCACCACCTCCCTGGGCAGTCCATTCCAATGTTTAATTACCCTTCCTGTGAAGAAATTCCTTCCAATGTCCAACCTAAACCTCCCCTGGTGCAGCTTGAGGCCATGTCCTCTTGTCCTGTCACTGGTTGCCTGGGA